CTCTATTTTTTTATATATTTTTTTTAAATTTATTTATTTATTCATTTATATAATATAAACAGTACAATATAGTCCTGCGGCTGGGCTTAAAAGCATTATTAGCCACATCTAGAATACTTAAATAAGGGGGGTAAAAAATAAAAATTGTAAGCCTAAATGGTAAAAGGCTTAAACTGCCTGGGGTCTTTCGAAATACTGTCTGATAAACAGAGCACTGGATGCAAGTATTTCATGGTTCTTACTAAGAGAAAGAGATGGGTGACCACAGAGAAATAAGTCAAGTTTATCTTGTCTATTTTTGCATAAATGCCTATAGTTCGGAAGTAAATCAAAAAGCTTCTGTTCAAAACTTATGTAGAATGGTTGTCTAATAGGACAAGAAAATATTACATGTTTTGTTGTTTCACTTTTGTCACCACATATACATTCAGGTGAATTTACATTGACAAAGTTATGGGCATGAAGGTGAGCATTAAATATGAGGTCAACTCTTATTCTATTCAAATATATCTCGTCAGCCCTATTAATGCCCAACTCTGATGCCAATATAATATCATTATTTAAGAACAATTGACTAATATTATTCTTAAACGTCTTGATTGTATCACAGTTTCTAATCTTGGAGCTCAATCCGTTGAACTCAGTCATGTACAAGAAGGTGGGAGATCTAGAGCGTATTCTTGAGCGACGTAGTGGAACTTGAAAAGGTAATTTACATTACGAATATCTCTGATATTTGGCTTTTTGTATTTGTCAAAAATTGTTGAAACATAATGAGGTACATTTCCACATTGCACTTTGAACATAAATGTAAGTCTATGTATCTTTCTACGAATCTCCAAGGTTGGCCAATTCAATACATGGAACAGTTTAGTAGACGAGGTTCCGGCAATTGTACCTGCACATATTGTTGCAGCTTTATAATAAAGCCTATCTAGACTCTTCAGAGTTGTTAGGTTTGCACATCCGTACAAAATATCATATAAATCAAAATGAGGCAGAATATAAGAGTTGAACATAAGCTTTAGATGTTTACCACCCAATTTTCTTGATATACTTTTCAAGTGGTTTAGCAACTTATCAATTTTATCTCAATTTTTCTCTATTCATTTGATTCCCCAGAACAATATAAATAAATGAGGGGGAATATAGACGTGAGTATAATTATTAAATTCCATGACATTTATCATAAATATTATTACTACTCAAGATAATTTGACAATAAAAGTAACCTGTTTCCGTCAAGATTCACATTGACTTCTAATATGTTAAAATTTTCCCGCGAAAATCTGCCCTACTCTGACGTCAGAGATCTCAGATTTGCTAATTATAATATTCATGAGCTGACTTTGGGGAAAGGTGAATAATAGAGAGTTTTGGGTGTAAGTTTTCAGAACTTGTACTACAACTTTAACTTTTAAATGACGGAAACATCACTGGGGAGAAAAGTTTCTCAAAGAAACCAGGAAAGTACGTTTCATTAGAAAAAAATTCCTCGTTTCCTAATCGAGAGAATTGATTTTTTGAATATTCCAGCAATGGTACTATTAATTTCTAAGTTGTAATCATAGTTTGAAACCGGAACTCACTTGCCGAATAGTTTGTTGTGATTTGAGTTCCTCCCCAGTGCTATACTGACTTGTACAAGTACAGGTTTACGTATACCAGTGTTTTTCCTAAGCGTCGGACCATCAGACAAATCCGGAGATGTTGATCCAGGACTGATGAGTTATTTCAACCAGCCAGTCCACAAGACTGTCCAAGTCTGATAGCTAAGATATGCACCAAATTCTTACCTCAAAGATTGGTCCGATCTATGCATTTCATTTATTCAAGATTGTAGTCATCATCGCATTGAAACTCTTGAAAACTGACAAAATACAAAAGTTCCAGATCCGCAAATGAGGATAAATGTCGCAGCATTATTTATCACTTACTGTGAAAAGCTGTCTTCTTATTGGTCGAAATGAGTTGTGGGTAGTAACCTCATGGAAAAATATTTCATTCAGTGTAAAATCTCTGATTATCAGAAGCACATTATAGGCTGGGAATTCTAACAGGAGCCATTCATTTCTGTCCCCTACAATATTGAATGCAGAGAATAAGTGAATTACCCCGGAAATTGCATGGGAATTGAATGACGACACTAGAGTGAAGATACGAAACTAAATTTTTTTTTGTCTAGTGTAGTCGAAGTAACTTCCTGTTTCGGTATTCATATTTTTGATTTCTTTAATTTCTTTTGGAACTGTTGGCAAAGGTCAATTTTGCGATAAGAATATAGTGCTGGTATTGAAGCAGGTGATGATGATAATAATAACAAGCCTTCAATATGAGACATGACAAGGAATGTAAAAATAGGGCTACTAGGAGCCGGCTAGCCTTGCCCAAGTCGGTCTCTTTTACTTATCTTGATTTCTGTTATGACCGCCTTGTACCAAAGAGAAAGCCACATGCTTTACCGACAGTTTGTTGATGTCGGTAAAATTTGACCAATCAACGACGGCCCTGTAGCGTTAGCTCATTATTATGCACGGTCAAAAACAAGTACACTTTTCACCAGGACTTTTCACGAACAAATCTTGCACGAATCTGAGCACGAATTCATCATGAAAATACAAATATTTTATCAGATAAATATCAATGAGAGTTTAGTGGATGTCGGGGCATCGATCGGATAACCAAAGGTGAGGAGATTTCAACAATAAATGTTGAAACGATCACTGAACATGTCGGCTGAGATTCAATCACAGATCGATCGACGACAACATGACCCGCTATATTGGACTAGGTCTTTGTGCATTTTCATCGCGAAATCAGTTTTAAATCAACATTGAATCGCATGATTTAATTTACATTAATGACTCTTACCTTCCAGTATACATTTAATTACATAATTTATTTTAACTCTAAAGAAACACTCGATCAGATTATTAAATTTCAAGTCGTAGATGGGAAGTTTGTTTTGTTTATGCAGCTCAACCTAATAACGTTTTGATTGGTCATTCAGCCTGAAGTCACACGTCGTGTCCACGCGTTATCTGTCAATCAATAAGGTTTCGCGATACCCCTGATAGCGTAGGTATTATGGAAATCTCGAAACCGTTGAATATTTCAGCATAATAACAGCGGAGATGTATTGGATTGTACAAGGCGGTAATAATTCAAGATGAGATAAGTAAAAAAATACCGACTTGGGCAAGGCTAGGAGCCGGCTAGTCAAAGTAATTCTTTAATATCTTAAGGACCGGTTAGTTTTCACTTGGGCCAGGGATATAACAGAAGTTACAGGTCAAGGTGACCGATGATGCCCAGACTGGACTGGTTGAAATTATGATTTTGCCGGTCCATTGGTCATGTGAGTTGTGTTCGCTTAGGAGAAACACTGACGTATACATATTCCAAAAAACTTCTATTGAAACCTCTCTTATACATGACCCTGATGATAACAGTCAGATTCAGTAAAAAATTCAAACCATAAAGCTGTGAAAAATTAAAAGTGAAGCAAATCTTTTTCTGATTTCCCTACATCATGTGGAAGGCATCTTGTTTTTCCCCCTTCAAATTAAACTGGGGGGAAATTCAAATATTTGAAAAGATATATCTCAAAAATATAATATAATTTTCTTTTCAATTCTTCATGGGTCTCTAAGCTATTTCTATTTTGTATGTCATACATGTTGCCATTGGTGTTTTTTTCTATGATAATGACAATTTATTTTTGTAAGAATACTTATTTTAACTGCATCAAAACTCAGGAAAAGTGCCTATACATTGTATTTCAAATATAACTAGGACAGTAATAAAATCCATATTTCACAAACATTTTAGCGAGGGACCAAAATGGCATATACACTGTATCCTGATATATCCTTTTGCCCATAAGACTCCAGCCTACAAAATTTAGACCAAATCCTGTAACCAGTATTTAAGTAATCAAGAACTACTTTTGTACATGAATCCTATGCTTCTTAGGTATCAGCCTATAAAATTTATTTTCAATAAAAATTAGTACCGTGGGTACTGGGCTCACATGGTGTTGCTCAAAAGTGAAAGATGGCTAAAATGACAGAAAAAAACGATATAATTTTTTGCAATGCAGGACACCTGAAATTATTTGTAAAGCTAGGAAGTGGGCCAAAATTGAATTTCGCGAGACAAAAATGGTAACCATTTTGAAAATAGGCAAGCTTTTGAACCAGGAGTCATAGGGGAGTTTTTTGTATTGATGTTGAACAAAAACAACTTGAAACTGGAATCCTATCGACAGAGGGTTTAAGGCAAATGGTCCAAAAGAGGATTTCGCGAGACAGATGGACAAATCAATGTTAACTAAAATGGTTGAAAATAAAAAAAATGGATATGATATTTTGCCAATTTTTTGTAACAAAATTATTTCATACAATTACTCTTTACAGTGACATGGCTTTTTACAATGCAGGACAGCTGAAATTATTTGTAAAGCTAGGAAATGGGCCAAAAGTGAATTTCTTGAGACAAAAATGGCGGCCATTTTGAAAATAGGCGAGTTTTTGAACCAGAAGTCATAGGGGAGTTTTCTGTATTGATGTTGAACAGAAAAAACTCAAAACAAGAATCCTATCGACAGAGGTTTTAAAACATGTCACTGTTGTTGACGGAAAAGTGGATTTCGCGAGTCAGATGGACAAATCAATGTTAACTAAAATGGCTGAAAATAAAAAAAATGGATGTAAATTTGTGAGACAAAAATGGTGGCCATTTTGAAAATAGGCGAGCTTTTGAACCAGGAGTCATAGGGGAGTTTTCTGTATTGATGATGAACAGAAATAACTTAAAACAGGAATCCTATCGACAGAGGTTTTAAAACGTGCCACTATTGTTGACGGACGGACAGAGCTAATAAAGTTAAAAAGTGGTAATTTATTAGCGTGTAGACTTCGTGCATTAACATGCATGGTGAACTATGTTCAGTGGGATAGTTATGCACAATGGCTTGTTATGAAGAAATCAGAACTTACGCTATGTTAATTTTTCTCTCCACATTTGGTAAAAGTTCGAAGCTATTACACTCCAGTACTTTGAAACCGTATCCTTCGCAGTGCAGTTTGTTGATAGCCAGGCTGTGGACATAGAATGGCAGCTGACCAGTGTTTTTCAAGAGAAACTCCTTCTTTACAGTAAAGTTTGGCACAGATCCTGGGTTCTTCTTAGAGCCTGTAATATAACAGTTCAGCAAATAAAATATGTTGCCTGAGCAATTGATCAACCTGAGTCAACCATTTCAGACAAATCATAAAATGCAGGTGTCCTGAGTCAGTTTTTCGCTCATACACACATGGACATTTATTTGAAAAATGGTTGTATGAAAAATTTCCCTCTTTTACAAGGCCCATGAGCATTTTTAACATCTTCATTAAAGGTAGGACACAAAGGGCAACATATTGAAAACACAAAACTTAGGCATTCAACTCAAATGTTAACAAGAACACATATGTGTACAACACATCCTCACCAATAGGTGATCCTACTGTATATAATGCAAATTTTTCATCCTGAAAGCCAAACACCAATCAGTTGAAAAGACAGGAAAAATCCCTTAAAATTTACCCGGACTGCCAAAAAACTAAGTAGTTTGAGATTTTCATACAAAGAATCATTCCTGATTTGAAATCGATCTGTAAACTGGTTCGCCAAGTAGGCAATACTTTACAGAGAAAATTTTAGGATGGAAAATCCAAAATGGCCACCTTCAAATTTACCTAGAATGCAGAAAAACTAATATCAGTTCTAGATTTTTATACAAAGAATCATCCCTGAAAATTTGAAATTGATCTACCAAATGGTTCACCTGAAAATGAGTAGACATGACTTTACAGACACGATTTGAGGACGAAAAATCCAAAATGGCCACCTTAAAATGTATCCAGAATGCCGAAAGAGAAATCAATTCTAGATTTTCATACTAAGAACCAGCCCTGAAAATTTGAAATTGATCTGTCAACAGTTGGATGGACAAAACTTTACAGACAAGAATTTAGGATGGAAAATCCTGGTTAACCTGAAAAAGCATAGACAAGACTTTACAGAACAATAAGATCTAAGGATGGAAAATCCAAAATTGCTGCCTTAACATTTACTGATAATGCCTAAAAAAACTAATCAGTTCTAGATTTTCATATCATAAATCATTCCTGAAAATTTGAAATTTATCTGTCGAATGGTTATCCTGAAAATGAGTAAGACATGACTTCACAGACACGATTTGAGGACGAAAAACCCAAAATGGCCACCTAAAACCTAGAATGCCGAAAGAGAAATCAGTTCTTGATTTTCATACTAAGAATCATCCCTGAAAATTTGAAATTGATCTACCCAACGGCTCACCTAAAAACCGGAGACAAGACTTTACAGACAAGATTTTAGGAGGAAAAAATCCAAAATGGCCGACAATAAAAAAGTAGGTATGAGTTTTTGATGATTTCTTTTACAAAATTATCGCATACATACAACTACTGTTAACAGGAACATATGCTTTTACAACACAGGACACCTGAAATTATTTATAAAGCTACTAAATATTTAAACAATGAAAACTCAAAAACACTATTCTAATATGGTACAAAGTATTATCGGTCGCTAACTTTTCTTAAGACATTCAAAATGGCTGCCATGACTAAGCTAACAGGTCAGTAATGGCAGATGGCAGATTATGAGATGAAGAATGAAGATAGTTGAACAAGATGTTACAGTTTTAAAAGTAACTGTGAAGACATTTTTCTTAAAGTTTGAAGAAAAGGATTTTAGCATTGGACTTCAAAATGGCTGACAGGAAGTATCGAGTTGAAACGTTTTCATCAACATCTGTATACATTCATTAAGTTATCCCTATAAGGTCCAGAATCTCATACTAATATCATCCTTTAAAATTTGAATTTGATCTGTAAAACAACTTGTCTTGAAACGCGTAGATAAGACTGAACAAACAAGATTTTAGGATGAAAAATTCCAAATCCTTATTAAATGCCTAAATGGTCAAAAGCTTCAACTTGCCTCGAGATTAGCATTTTGGGCATGCATCACAAGTAAAAGTATATTGTAACATATGTGAATAACAAGATTTTGGATAAATTGTATATACATGTATTATGATAGCTTAAGACTAATAGTGTAGTGTAGTGTAGTACAATATATTCATTCTGTATTGACTAATATGTCTAAAGAGTCAATAAAAGATATATATAATCACTTAAACAAAGAAAATGACCTAGATTTTGGCCTTGGTTTGATACCAATTTCATTGAATTTGGAGAACTTTTTTGTTGACCTACTTTCTGAACACCATATCTCAAAACTGCTTTTAGATACTTTATGAAAACAAAAACAAATTTCAAAGAAAAATATGACAATAATGTGTCAATCGCAAATATAAAGAAAATGACCTAGACTTTGACATTGCCCTTATGACTTGACTTATATTTGTTATCCTCTTTAATCATTTTAACTGAAGTTTAAACTAAAAAACAAAAGAGTCGTATTGGTATGGTGAACTTTTTGAACACACGTTTCTCTTAAACCAGTCATAAAAAAATCTAAAAATTTAAGACATCGTCAATTTAATGGTCATCTTTTGAATGGTAACAATATAATTTGAAAAATATATACATACTTTCATCTATATTGTTTTAGAAAACAAATCAAACACTTGTTTTGTTCTTGGTCACTGGCATTTAATGGGTTTTATCAAATCCTTTATATAATTCCTTTGGTGTATTTTTTCTAGCACGAGTAATATCACTTTAATCAGTATACAGATGATTCAATAAACAGGCTATAAATTAAGCATACACGTTGATTGGTGAGTAACTTTGCATATTGTAAGATTTGTAAGATGCCATGTATTTCCTATAGGCAACTTTAAAGTAGAATTTAAGGTAAGTCATTTTCACCTCCATTTTGAAAATATATACGACTTGGGCTTTTATTTATAAAGAACATTGGTCTGATAGTATATCTGGAAGATTTGTTTGAATAAATCAGTCATTTTGTCAAATTATTTTACTTCGACGTAAAAAAGTGAGAGTGATAACGTAGCAAATACCTAAGAGTAGATAGAAACGACATAGCAATCGCAGCTCATATAATTGTGTTGTTATCAATGTAAAGTATACTAAATAACAACATTTCCTGTATTTTTGAGGACCATTTAGGAACATTATATAAGCTTAAAGTTATTTAGCGATTTGTCTTATTTCAGTGTGATCACACGTCTTTACCATATGGAACAAGGGCATTTTACTTGTGTCAGGCATTGTCAGAATTCAAATATTCACGCTTTCGAAGATGTAATAAATCACAAATTGTAAAACATGCACTGGTGGTAGGGGAATCATAGGGGTTGTATGAATATCTCAACATTGCGAATTGAACAAAATAGATATCAAAGGCGTCATTACTCAATCTATTATAGAAAATGTGGAGGAACTCTTAATCGACAGTAAAAACAGCACGGTGCTATTGACCCAAGGTGTTAAATCGACTCAGGAAATGCCAAAATCTATACGTAGGGTGGTAGGAAAAAAGATGTCTGCAATAATAGAGTCTAAAATGCAGAAAACATGACGCATTTTGTAAATCGATGCATCCAATCCCATAAATATCTATCAGTGGGTGCTTCCCACATCAAGCTAATATATCCTCAAAATAGTCCGTAATGAATAAAGGAAATGATCACGTTTCAGAGTTTTGTTTCGATATTTACAAATTTAGCGATTGTCAAGGTTGTGAAAAATGATGATCTGTCATCAAATCAAAAAAACAACAAGGTATTACTTTAGATTGATATCTAACAGTCTTCTAAAGTGGAAAAATATTGAAGATAATTGCGGATAACAATTCCCTCATCTCGAGGGGCTCTGCTGGGGAGTTCTTCAATCACAGTCAATATCGTTAGATTCTTGCTTTTTTTGCAATCTTTACTAAAAGGCTTAGCAGGTAGCTGATTAAGGAACTGAGTGAGTAGCTGAGTAGTAGTTGAGTAAGTAGGTGAGTAAGTAACTGAATAAAAGGCTGAGTAGGAAGCTGAGTAAGTAATTGAGTGAGTAGCTGAGTAGTACTTGAGTAAGTACGTGAGTAAGTAACTGAATAAAAGGCTGAGTAGGTAGCTGATTAAGTAACTGAGTGAGTAGCTGAGTAGTAGTTGAGTAAGCAGGTGAGTAAGTAACTGAATAAAAGGCTGAGTAGGTAGCTGATTAAGTAACTGAGTGAGTAGCTGAGTAGTAGTTGAGCAAGTAGGTGAGTAAGTAACTGAATAAAAGGCTGAGTAGGTAGCTGATTAAGTAACTGAGTGAGTAGCTGAGTAGTAGTTGAGTAAGTAGGTGAGTAAGTAACTGAATAAAAGGCTGAGTAGGTAGCTGATTAAGTAACTGAGTGAGTAGCTGAGTAGTAGTTGAGTAAGTAGGTGAGTAAGTAACTGAAAAATAAAAGGCTGAATAGGTAGCTGATTAAGTAACTGAGTGAGTAGCTGAGTAGTAGTTGAGTAAGTAGGTGAGTAAGTAACTGAATAAAAGGCTGAGTAGGTAGCTGAGTAAGTAACTGAGTGAGTAGCTGAGTAGTAGTTGAGTAAGTAGGTGAGTAAGTAACTGAATAAAAGGCTGAGTAGGTAGCTGATTAAGTAACTGAGTGAGTAGCTGAGTAGTAGTTGAGTAAGTAGGTGAGTAAGTAACTGAATAAAAGGTTGAGTAGGTAGCTGAGTAAGTAACTGAGTGAGTAGCTGAGTAGTAGTTGAGTAAGTAGGTGAGTAAGTAACTGAATAAAAGGCTGAGTAGGTAGCTGATTAAGTAACTGAGTGAGTAGCTGAGTAGTAGTTGAGTAAGTAGGTGAGTAAGTAACTGAATAAAAGGCTGAGTAGGTAGCTGAGTAAGTAACCGAGTGAGTAGCTGAGTAGTACAGGGAGGTAAAAAAAAATGGAAACCCTTACACCATTTTCCTTATATCTTTATTATTTTAAGAAATAACTTTGCACATTTGTACATCACTCAATTTCCTACCAGCCTACCATATTTCATGACCATCTGATTGATAGTCACTGTGTTACAGCACTTTAAAGAACATTCCCGGTGGCCACTTTTGCGTTGAAGACCAACCTGCATATGTCGTCCAAAATGTCCCTACCTATGGGGATATGGCAGAGATAGAGTGCATAATAATGACCCCAG